GGGATGCAGTGGATTGATCTGATATAGTTGGTAATTTTACTTAAAAACCTTCCTACTAAATAGATTCAAAATATTTTTGAAGAACAGATGGTATAGACTAGAGGAAGAGATAAACATTGTATGTTAAACATTTTATTGATCAATTAAAATATCATAATTTAGAGTGTTGATTCTACTATGCAAATTATGCATGTCTGTATGTGGTTGCGAAAAACACAGAGGGTGTATGTAGACGATGGAATAGGAATTTATCACACAAAGTTCAATGGGTAAGTGAGGTTTTCTATTTTCACCCTCTCTCATTCTCTCTCACTCCCCTGCCTAGCACCGCTCAGGTAAGACAGTTCCAGATGGTTCTTTGTGAAGGTTTTAGGAAACTGACTTTCAGTCTTGAATACTGTGCCTCTGGGCACTTTGAAAATTGTCTCTTCTGTCTATTTTTAAGAGCAACTTGGAAAAAAAATGATATGCAGAATAGAATAAAAAAACCACCTGTGAGGATTTGAGGAAAAAGGCAGGCTATGAAGTTTTCAGGTCTCTAAAAAGAGCTCAGGTGTGGAGATAATGCATCCTTATTTTCTAGTACATTTTGTTCAATTTTTTCCACAAAAAGAGAACTTGAAACCAAATACCTTCATTTCAGTAAATTAGTCTACTTGACATTAATTTAAAATCATATTTATCTTCTGTCATCATGAATGAGTTGCATGTGAAAGTTTCCATGAATTTTGGAGCCCATTTGCCTGGACTATTAACCATACTTATAAATGTAGTAAACTATTGGAGTAAATCATTAGATTCTCCAAAAGTTGAATCAGATTTCAAAGAAGAGAAAACACCACAATCATTGTGTAAAATGTATATTAAAAAAGTATTACAGATAGTCACTTATAAGCTAAAAGGAGGGTTAGATCAACTAATAGTGTTTTAAATGACATTAGCACTCACTTTTCCTTTGGTTCACGTATTTATTTATAGGGAAATAGTGCAGTCAAGACCAAATGTGGAAAGAAACTATTATATCAAAGATGCAGGAAAATACTAACCTACAAATGGTCCTTGTATGTCCTGCTCCTCTGCCTTTGTGTGTCACTGGTCTTCCTCAGAAGTCTCAGTTATGTCCAAACTTGATGCGGGCTGTCTTCCTGACAATGGCTGGCTTGTAGTGGAAACTGTCTTCACCACCTAAGTTATGGGGCCTGATACAGTGAATAACATACGCACAGGCCTCTGCTTTCTCTAAATTGTTTCTGTGACCCCTTTATTATTCCCAGGATCTGTGCCCTTTGCCCTTGTCCTCATTTCTACAGGACTGAGACAAGTGTCAGACCCTTGGAATGCTACACAACAATGACCTTGATCCCCAAACTGTGCTAAAAAAAGTGAGTTTAAATCTAGTGCTGAAATGGAGTGTAGTTGTCAAATTATTGCCAATGTGAAAGAAGCCCTAGCCTTTTGTCAGCGACAGCTGTCTTTTGATTTGTGTCAGGTTTTCTAATCTGGTGGGTAGTTAACGCATTTAAAAGGCTAGATCTTCTTTGTTGTTTTTACTTTTTGGAGCATGGGGAAATTGAAGGGATTCTTCTTAGCATTAAGTTTCTAATGATTTTCTAAAGCTTTATATTCTAATTGTTACAATAGAACACTTTCAGAAACAAAACCATACGTTTCTTGGCAAGGATACTAGGATAAAGATGGTGGGTGTTTAGTGCTTGATGGATGAACAAGTGAGAAGAAGATGTAATTTGGAACCAAGAAGCACCACCCCATGGCTGGTCCTGGGCCCCTTTGGGGGGAAAGCAGTCTTTAATTACATCTGCAACTCATTAATTCTTTTTGGATCCTCTTTCCAGATCAGCTCCCCTATCGGCCTCCCATCGAGCAACAGAAATTCCAGATGGTTCCCTCCATATGCCAGGGCTCATTCTCCCAAATAGGGTAGATTGGTCATTGACAGAGCAGGATGGGAGAGCCATGGCCAAGTGGGGACAAGTTGGAAAGCACTGGGCCACAGTTAAATTAGAAGTGTTCCATCTTTAATGTTTATTAAGAGAATTTATAATGATTCCTGAATGTTTCTCTGAAATATGTTGAGTAATTTCACAGAAATGATGCTACTTAGGAAGAAATGTCAGACTTTAAGTCTGCCTACATTTTATCTGTAATAACTCACATTGTTGGAGAATGTGGCATATGGATCCCAACTCACACCTAGCATAAAGAGAACACCTCTACAGCTGTCATCATAGCTAAGAACTGGTCAATTTGGGCTGGCAGCTGGTCTGCTCTGGGGGCTCCATCAGTTTGAATTCTTTTGCTTGTGTTATTGTAATCTTTATTGTTGTGATTACAAGGAGAATCCCCTTATAAAAATTTTATAGGGGATATGTTTATTTAACTTTAGCGGAATTGTGCTATAACAAACACACTGATAGACTGCAGTTTGAAGCAGCCAGGAATGAATACCAGAGGAACCTCCCTATAACTGAAGGTCATATAATCATTCCAAAACTGTCATATTGAATTGGCTTTGTTTACCTGTCTTTATCTGATGGTGTATGATTGCCCACCACTTTATCAGATTTGGCATGTTCTGGGGAAAGAGGAAGAACAACCAAAAAAGGGGATAGATGAATCCAGGAAATGTAAAAGTGCAAAGTATGCCATTAAAAGAAATAAAAATATTTCCACTCTTGTCTTCGGTGTGCTGTTTTTCTCTGAGAGCCACTGGATTGTTCATACCTAGGTAAGTTTTGTTTGCTGCTCTTTTTGAGTACTGCTGTAGGCTGGATATTGTTCTGCAGCCTGAGTATGTAAATGTGGGACTGGCCAGTTGTGGTTCCTGTCCTTATGCAGTTCTGATGTTTAATCTCCAGAATTTCTGGGAACTCGGTGGTATATTTGGGTGAACAGAGCAATTAAAAAGAACAAACCTTTTTCCAAGAGGGGTATATGATAAAGACCAGAGTGAGAAATTTCAATAATCATATTTTGGCTCAGAAGCATGTTCAGAGCACTTACTGCATGTGTGTTGTGTGTGTGTGTGTGTGTGTGTGTGTGTGTGTGTGTGTAGGTGTGTATAGGGGAGCATGGGTGACAAAGCATTTATTGAATCAATTCTATTGTTTAGTGAAATCAGGATTAATAGTTCAAAATTGGTGAAATGGGCTATAGTTTGGCATACACAGGTTCATTTTTTAAAAAAACAATTCTTGTTTTTAAAAGTATTTGCTTTACATGACTTATCTTGAAACCAAAATTCCATAAATGTGTGTCAAACCTAGGACATGTCTTGCTAAGTCACTCTTTATTTTGAAAAGTGCCAGAGATGAGATTAAGATATTTAGTTTTATTGTTTAGCTTGGTCATTCATTATCAATCAGTAATGAGTTCTTGAATTTACATTGTATAGGGGACTAAAGTCAACCGATGTATATATTTCTTTAGTATCTTCATATTATGACAAGTGTGGGGCATTTTACAAAGCGAATAGCTTCTTTCTCTAACACTTGGAGAGAAAAATGTAATTCACTGACCATCAGCTCAGTAGGACTCTCTCTGTGTCTCTCTCTCTCCTCTCAGCTGGACACAGGATAGCTGTTCTTAAAGTATAGTGCAGTATCGTCAACACCACCCACAGCATCCATAGTCCATTAGGGTGCAAGCTGAGCTTTGCCTCTGAAAATCGCTTATTGGCTACACCAAATTTGGTGTAGCCTCCTCATTGGCTACACCAAATCCTCTGCCTACATTTGATTGGCTACAACTCATAGTAATGGGAAAGGCTAGAAGCTAGAGTCTTACCAGGAGGAAAATTACAGTCCCATGGTCTTTGCTGAAGGATTTGGCTAGTCTTATAAATAGGGAAGTAGGTAAGAGCTAGGAAAGATAACTCATGAAAAGTTGATTTGCTTGGACAAATCCTGTAGAACAGCAGAGTATATAGTTTTCTGGAATGAGAAATTACATTATGTTAATAAAAGGGTGCCTTAAAAGTTCTTACATATGTCAATGATTACGGTGCTTAAATTTAAGCAGAAACATTTACTTGATGTCTTTAATTTATGCTGAATTACCCTTAAGCTTCAAAAAGTAACACTTAATACTTTAGCATACATGAAATGTTTATAGTTTTAGTTGATTTTATTTATATATCACTTTATTGTTAATTTCAGACAAAAGCTATTATTATTTCTTTGAAGTTTTATGGAAATAGCTTTTCTGAAAGGAGAGTTGAAGAATTATGGTTTGAAGCTGTTGATGAGCTGTATTAGCCTTCAAACAGATGGGCAGCTGTATGAGCAATAAGTGTGTAGCCCTTCCAGAGCATGCATTATGTCCTTTGCCTTCATGGTGGGAATGAGCGAACTACAGGAGGCTTACTAGGACTATACAACCACTCTAGGTCTATTAGTTAATTTCACCTTTCCCTAAAGCTTATGAATGAAGTATTTCTATTTCCATTTCATAGAAGAGATAACTCAGATACAGAGAAAGTTGTTAGCCCGCACGTATTAACTAGCAAGGCTGGGCTTTACATCTAAGTAATCTGTCATCAGAGACCAATGTCATGTACTTCCCTAAAACTGGTGCCGAAGCTGGAGATTTAGGTCAGTGGCATAAGCGCCTGCCTTGCAAGCAGGCAGTCATGAGTTTGATCCCCAGGACCAATAAAAAGGAAAAAAACTGGTGCCAAAAATGAAGGGAAAGGGACGAAGTGTAGGAAACTTGCAGTGTGGTGGGCTTGTGGCATAAGCCATGCCTTTTGGCCAGGACATTTGTTGTATTAAGCAATGATAACACTTTCTAATCATGGTCTTTTACATAAGACCTTGCTGCTGGCAGACTATTTGTTCTTCTGGTTTCTGCACATGTCCTGGCATAGGTGGCAGTATAAGCAATTCCTGAAGTCCCAGGAGAACCCCAGGAAAAATCACTGGAAGAGAGAAAGTGATTCTTGTTTTAGGTATACATCTGAGCAATTTCCTTTTCTCTTGCAGACAAGACTGTTCTCGTGGATACAGAGCTTCCATTCCTCAAGGGCCTTTACGTGATGGGGACTCTAGAATTCCCCGTGGACAAGAGCAATGTTCTGAGTGTGGCATGTCTGGTCATTGCAGGAGGGGAGATGAAAGTAGGTGAGTAAAGACACAAGGATTCAAAGCCCAATGGGAATGAAGCTCTGGGAGAAAGTATCCTGGGGAAGAAAGGGTAGCGTCAAGTGGTTGCTTAGTTAACAGAGGTAGGAGACTAAGGCAGAGGGTTTACTAGTGAGCCTTGGAGGTGGACAGAGGTGGCTTCTGTTGCTGTCTCTTATACCCATCCTCTGTCATCAAACCACACTTTTCATCATTTCAGGTATCTTTTCCTTATCCAGGCTATAAATCAATCCCATTAGTTATTTGCATCAGAATTTATGTGGCTCATTCTTGCAGAAGATACCATAGGATAGATTTGAGATGTTATAATCAACAACCTCTAAATACAGTTTCAATTATTTTGTCAACATAGTTTCCTCAAAAAACAGACCTGAGGACAAAACTTATAGGCCAGCATCTTGCTGAGAGCAGAAAATTCCAGTGGCATGAGAGTGAAAAGAGGAGAGGAGAGGAAAAACAGAAGGTGTCCAAAGCCTCTTAAGGAAACACAGCTGTTTGCTTGGTTGTACAGGGGCCTTGAGAGAAGCCTCACCAAGTTGCCAAATCTTGAGGCGATACTGGACAGATGGTGGGGAGAAGGTCAGTAGTATATCTGGTCTATGCAAAGCCTGTCCTTTTTTATTTTGATCCTCCACAGGCAGGTAGTAGAAGGGCTAGAAAACATAGTAACTGCTAGAGGATTAAGGTTGTCCAGCTAGGAAGTGAGATATGCTCCTGAAGCCCCAGATATGCAAGTTGGATTGGATCTGGAGTGATGTGTTAACCAGATCTGGCATGTTGGCTTACTTATGTTAAACAACAATAACAAGATAGCAACTGCAGCAAAAATGAAAAATAAAAAACTGGTGTTACAGGTAAACTATGTAGGTGGAACTATTGTAGGCAATAAGCATGTTGGAAAGATATGTACTTTGCTCCCAAAAGAACTACCTTTTTGAATGATGTAATGTATTCTACTTTACTTGTTAAGGAAAATATTATAAAAGAATTCTCAGAAACAATAACACCTTATCCCAGAGAAAGAAATCTCTGGTGAGAAGGAAATATTTAGATTCACTGTCTGGTCTCATCTACATTTTAGCATCTCTGCTGTGAAGGAATCCTATGATTAACTATCTATATGAAGCTCACATGATTATACGAAGATTCCTGGAAAATTATAGTCAACCTCTTCTTGAATACTTGCAGGGATAGCAAAATTAAAAACCTTTGAAGCAACGTGCTTCCACTGATTAAAATCTCATCAGAATTCTTTTATTAACCAAATGTCCCTTTAGTTTCCATAGCTTTTGGTTCTTGTTGAGCCTTCCAAGATAAATAAAAAGCCCTCTACTTCATGGCTTTCTAGCCTCACTATCTTGAATACTCTTTTTTCAGGGTTTATAATGTAATTTAAGTTATTTTAACAATGATTTATAGTTGCTTATTGTTGTTTTTAAATTTTATGTTTCCAATGTTTTATATACAACTAGAAATGTTACACAGAAAAAAACCGATCATACATATTTCTAAAAATAAATATAACCACAGTTAATATTTCATTATTTTATTTCAAAATCATTTTTCCTATACACACACACATATACATGCACACATACACTTTAAAACATGCAGTCCATAGTTTGAAAATTTTTGGATAACATTAATGATGTAAGAGTCTTTCAAACTTTTTAAAGGCATAATTTTAATAGTTTGATATTTCACAATATATATGATTCATATATACATAGGTATATAATAATTCATTGACCATTTCTCTATTGTTAAACATCTAGATTATCTCACATTCCATCCTCCATGTAACCCACTTCTCAATGAATATCCTGGAAATTGTTATTGTTCATATCTTTATTACCTTGGGATAGACTTTAGTAACTAAAGGGCCTAAGGATAAGAACAGATTTTACAGGCCCATCTCATTGCTTTCCAGAAAGATTTGGCAAATCTGTACATTTTACACATTTCTCAGAGTTACGAGAGCCTCCTATTCTTCTTGGTTTGCCAGTAAACCACCTCTTTGTTTTAATTTCTTTGAATGTAAAAAGTCAAGATGAAAGATGTAGTCTCAAGTGAGACCTGACCTATTCTGAATAGGATGAGCAGGGCACGGTGGCTCCCAGGGCAGGATTTAAGCCAGATAATTTGGGACCAAAGCCATATTGAGCACCCACTTTCTGTTTGACTTCAAATAAGTAACTGATAGATGCCTCCATTTCTTTATCTATAAACACATGCAGGATAGAGCCCCCCACCCCGAAAAAATCATTAAGTGCAACAGCTCATGTTAAATACTTGGTGTATGGCAAATATATAATAAATGTAAGTTTATTAGCTGGGTTTCAACATATTACAGATGTCACAAATTGGACAATTTGAGGGATTTAGTAAAGGAACTTGTTACAAAATATCCAAAGGGGTTGGGGCATATTTAAGACTCGTAATACAGAGTATCACTACAACCCTCTGCTATAAAGGAGAGAGAAAAAATTATTGAAATCCAGAGGTGAGGGAGGAAATAAACTGCAGATGATGGTAGGCAGTGGTGTGATCTTTTGTATGGCCAGGAGTCAGGGAGCTATGGAAGCACCTACGCAGTACATACTCTGGCCTCTCCGCATCTCTGGCTACCACATAGTCACACTTGACTGGATGTCAGAGTTAGAGAACTCTTCATCTTATACTGCGTGTGACTAGAGAATCGTGGGGCAAGCAGCAGGGCAGGGAAGCAGCAAGTGTGGAAAAGAAAGTGTCAGCACACTCCAGCACATATGGGCTCCCAGCTATCTGCACACACGCAGTTTTCCTATTCAGACAGGCAGAGATTCCGTCGACTTTTTCCAGTCCTGTCGTACTGTTTTGCCAACTACACTGTCAGTTCGAATTCCTTACCTTCTTCAGTGTGGTGCCTCCACTTGTCATCTCCATGTTTCACACTTGTGTGGAGTTTATTTTGCTTATCTTGGGCTGCAGGTGAACTTAGTATAATACTTCTTACTTATTTCATCATTTGATTACTTCAGTATGTCTTTGCACCCTTGGGAAGTCCTTCAGATTTTGACTTTTTCCGCCCACATTAGTACTCTTTGCCCATTTGTTTTATATTCTATAAGATGTTCATCTGGTTCATTTACATAAATGTTTAATGAAGTTGGGCCCTGTTTTGTTATTAGAAAACTTATTTCAGGTTGGTGTCTTTTATTGCTAAGTTTGATCCTTCTAAAAAGTTATTTTTAGGTTTTTAAAATCGCATATTACAATACTTAACTTGGCTCCTAACTGAACCTTTGAAGGAAAGAAACACTGTGCCACTTTCCCGTTTTGGTTTATGTGTTTCAAATTTAATTTTTAAATTTCTCTATTCCCAACTATATTTTTATCCACTATTAGATAATTGTATATTCTTTTTCTTTGTATGGTTTTCCAAGCCTAGAGCTTGCTTATCGGAACCCATCTGCTCAATCCTATGTGCATTGTGCCTGAAGGAAGGCTTTCAACCCATCTGTCCAATTTTACCACACCCTAAAGAAATCCCAACATGAAATAGATAATGTGACTAGTTAGTAAACAAACTTAATAGATGTGGACGTTGGCATGGAGGGCTGCCAGACTACGTCTGCTATCTGATGCTATTTGATCCAAGTCCCCAAAGTATTCTAGGTGGTATTGCTTTTGAGGCAACTGGTGCTAGCAAAAAGTATCAGTTGACTTTTAGTAGAGTAGAATCATGGGATGCCACAATTAGAAGGAAATTCAAGATCAAAGCTTTACTTAAAGGGGTATAGTTGAATCACAAATGCCAAGCTCAGTTTCTTTCATTGTTCAGTGCTTGTCTCATTAGTCTGATAGAACACTAGAGATAAGCACAAAGCATCTCACTTGTGTGTCTATCCTTCATCCTGTGTTTACCCAGTGCCCACCCTTTTCCCAGCACTGTGGAGGTACAGAGGGTACCAAAATAGAAATTGTGAACCCTAACTCCCAGAGACCTCAGTAAGACTTGAGACACAAAGGTAAAAAAGCAACTAGACAAGTCAAGTCATAACCAGGAGAAGGTTCAAAGATGAAGGAAGATGTCTGAGAAGGCACATATTCCTGGATTTGCATTTTCCTTTCAAGCCATTGTGAATATATCTTATCTGCACTGGGATGGTGGTGTCAGAGAAAGTTCGTTTGTTTTACAAACTCTCCTCATGAAGGCAAGAAGGGGACACTGGATACTTCTCAGCAGAGATGTGACATGTTTTGGACTGGAAACATCACGCTTGATAGTGGGAAGAGTGTCTTAGAAGGGGCACAGTGAAAGGGATTCTCAGTAGCTTTTTGCAACTGAGGTGTTTCAGGAAAGAAATCAAAACTGATCAAGCTAATCTAATAGAATTAAGAAGGAATGTAATTAGAAAGATATTGATATTTAGTAGTCACTAAAATACAGTGGCTATTTTGATGTGAGGCAAGTAGTACTTCAGGATTTATTCTAGGTTTCAAGTTAGAAGATTTCCGTGAGTGTGGGTATAAGCAATGAACCTTGATCACCATTCATTAGTTTAGTGACCCTGAGCAGTTATCAGGAACAAGGGTCTCAGTTCCCTTATCTGAAAATGGAAAAAGCAGTAATCCTATTTCATAGAATTTTATGAAGGTCCAGTGAACAATTTTGGGCACATATACTCATACAGCTCAACTTTACATATTTATGGAATGTTTACATGGTAACATATCAAAACAAATAACTTTATAAAAAAGAAATCCAAGAGAGTTCTGCACTAAAGATTTATGTGTTTCTGGGGGTTATTAGCCTGAATTTGAGATCAAAAGTATGAATAAAATTAACTAAATAGTGTTTGAGGAGAAGGAAAATGATCAAAGCTGAAATTTTCAGTAGCATCAGCCTTCTAAGTAGAAGAAACTGAGATTGGGAAGGAGAATAAAAACTAAACTGCTCTACAGGGATATAGAAAATGAAGTGATAGAAAGTGACA